AGTTGGTAGAAAAAAAGTTCCTTCTGTTAAGACCTTTAATTAGAATACCCCCTCCCCCTCACTGGCTACCTACTGAGGTCGAAAAGAAGTCGCGCAGACAAGTTATAGTTTGTACAATCACCTTTCATGACAATACCATGAAGGGTAGAAACGTGTGTTCACCCCCCGTCCTCACCCTTTTCAAAAATTTTACTTGGCACCACTAAAGGCATGCGAATGCAAAATCTGAAATTAGTTAGGTGTTAGGAAATAAGTCATGGGGGGGGGGGCCTTGAGACAGCCATTTGATGACTGTCTGGCACACCTTCAAGGTACAGGGGACGGACAGAAGGAAAGACGGACAAAACGCAAACGATAGCACTTTTTTTTCATTCTTAAAAAATGCGCTAACAATCCCATGATTGGTGCGCGCAAGGGATGCCGATGAAGGGTGCGCTTGTTTGGTTTTTTGGACCATTTAATTCTTGTATCTTGCCATAGATGCCATTTTGGCGCCACTATTCCGCCGGTTGACTCATTCAGTTAGCCAGGGGAGCCTTTTTGCCTGCATTCGTGGATATCAGAGTCCCTCAGATTTTTTTGAAACCACTTTGGGCTATTATAATTCTTTTAACCCGCCACACATGCCATTTTGGTGCCACTATCGGTCGGTTAACTCATTCATTTAACCAGTGGAGCCTTTTTTTGGTGCATAATGTAGGCACCCTTAGCTTTTAGCGCATTTCCCAAGGAATATATTGCCGTGTGAAATGGTACGCGGTTAAAAATATTACCCAACATATATTTTTAAAAAAAATTAAAAAAGTAAGGCTAACAAGGCCTTTTTGAACATATCCAACCCGTTTACAAAACGGAAAAATCAAAAAACCGAACAATTAAAGAGATCTCAAGAAAAAATAAGTACTCACAGATTAGTCAAATGAAGATCCGGACAATGGGAATACGATGAACGACAAAGCAAACACTTTACACAGAACTGGCAGCTTTTAGATCTCACCAACCAATAATTGTCATGGCTGATCGGATGATCTTTATCATAAACTGGTCAATGACTTTGTCCTCTAACTTATGGAACCGCACGCGTAAAACTTAAACTTGTTTAATCGGCGAAAACTTGCCCACAATAATTTAGCGCAACAGTGAGTGACGTGCGCTTTTTCAATCGTGACATTAGACTAAACAGCCCCGTTTATTTCCCATTCATTGTACTTAACGGTCGAACCACATCCACTTATCGGTTGCATATCGTTGTTCCCCGATGATGCCCGAAACACAGCTTCGTCGACCCGTATTGATAAACACCTGCCTTGCTTATCTTGCACGTGACGTTGTTAGTAAAGAAACCCAATTAATTTGTCCGACAAGGCCAGATAAAACTTTTACCTTACGTCGAAATTATGATTAAATATTCCCTTATTTGTGCGCTCTAACATTTATGATACTCGCTAAGTACAGGGTGGCCAACGAGGTGTATCCATCGCAGAGGCTTGCGGTAAAAAAATTCATTACTAAAACGGCCACGACAAAAACCTGGTTTCTGAGTTTCTGAAATGCCTGCTAGGGGGCGTAACTGCAATCTGGAATCTAATAAAGTGAGCATTTCGAGCATTTACGGCGGCATTAAAAGCTTCCTTTTTTAAATTGATCCACCTTAGTGCCACAAATTATATAATAAAACTAATTAGCTTAAGAAATAAAAATTTGATGGTATAACATTTTCTTTGGCCACAAGATATCGAGATGCGGTTTTCGCGAGCTTGTAACATCATTTAGCTACTTTTTCATGAAAAAAAATCGAACCAAGGCATTTAATTTTTTTGAGAAAGGTAACCATTTCTGTCGGAATGTCGAAAAAAGCCCTCAAGTGGCGATATGTGAAACTAACAAAACTTCAAATATTATAATATTTGTAGCCGAAGAATAACTCTTTTCAATTAACCCGAGTTTGTTAAAATCGGCTCAGTCGTTTCGAAGATACAGGGTGTTCTTTACGGAAACCTTTGAATACCCCTCACCACTTCATTTTTAGAGATACAGGGAAAATTGTCAAACAAAAAGGTTCAGATTATCGTCGACTTCAAAGACCGGACATTTTTTTGTTAGGTTAATATAGCGGAATTCACAGAAACATCACTTTTTTAGATTCCAGTAAAGTCACTAGATATAGAAAGTACCGCAATCATCCGCCATTTTTGGGCAAATTTGCTGCCAACTTAAAAAAATTGACAAATAAAATTTGAATAGCTGTAATTTTTTATAACCTAACTTCATAGTACTGTCATGTTTTATAAAAATATATACAGATATCTCCAAACAGGTGGAACAATCCCTAACATTAAAGTTACTAGATTCTGGTAACTTCGGCCATTTTTGGGCAAAAATCATGCGTTCTCTCTCTAACACACGAGCCCAATGGATTGCGGTACTTTCTATATTTAGTGACTTTAGAGTCCAGATTGCAGCTACGCCCCCTAGCGGGCATTTCAGAAACTTAAAAATATTTTCCAGGTTTTTCTCGTGGCCGTTTTAATAATAACTTTTTTTACCGCAAGCCTCTACAATGGACAGGTTTCCCAGATACAGTACCTCGCATTCTTATTTGGCCACCCTGTACAACAAACACAATGTACAATTTCTAAATTTAAAATTTAAACAAAATTCTGTGTCTCTTTGAACGAAATTCCCCTAGGTCCTATCATATAAATTGAAACATATTACAGACATTGCTATTTCCAATGCGTAATCCGGACATTACGTACATTTTTCACTACAGGGTGGCTCGCTCTCATCTTTGGCATTATTGCAACCTAGAGAACGACACCTCCTTGCAACAATACTTTCTTGAAATTTTAACCATAGGTGCTTCTAGTAAGGACAACCATGGTGCATATTGTAAAAGTAGGTGTGCGCAGTGACTCCCCTTAGGGAGAAAACTTTTTTAGCGCATTTTTTAAGAATTAAAAAAAATGCATTTTGTCAGTCCGTCCGTCCGTCCGGACCCACTTCTACCGTTTTGAGCTACTTCTAGGGGAATGGTCCTAGAGTCCTGGAATTTTTTGCAGTAGGTAGTCTATACCTTGAAGGTGTGCCAGACGGCCATAAAATTTCGCTGTCTGAAACGCCCCCCCCCCCTCGAATTATTTTCTGAGATGCTGTTTTTGAAAGTAAAACTTTTAACAAAAATAAAGGCAAAATAAATAAATAAATAAACTTTTACATACGTCAACCAATTGGTCTCAGATTTTGCATACTCATACCTTTAGTGGTGTTCAGTTAAACTTTAGGAAATGGAGAAGGGGGGGGGGTTACACGATGTTCTACCCTTCCTGGTTCCAATTCTAATTGAAAGTCTTGGTTCATCGAAATTAATCTTTGTACAGAAACTATGATTTCTCCGTTGCGACTCTTTTCAAGATCAGTGAGCGGACGGGGACGGGGGGGGGGGGGGATTAAAATATGTTATGCGTTCATGTAGCCCTTCCTTCCTTCGACCTCTTACCTCTTATCGTGAAAGGGTATATTCCCTTATACCTCAAGAACGGATTGGCGGAAGAGGGTACTCACAAATGGCGATTGAGACGTCTGCAAGAAATATGTCCATTGGTGATGTCAAAACAAACGATATTTCGGTTAAAAAAATGCGCTTTATCTGCACAAGAGTTGTGCATAATTTATACTTGTTACTTGTTTTTGACACCACACTGGACTATTTAGTTCTTGTAACTTGTCACAGATGCCATTTTGGCGCCACTATCGGTCGGTTAACTCATTCGGTTAGCCATCGGAGGTTTTTTTGATGCAACCGTACACTGAAGAATTCTTCCTTGAGTCATTAGAGTATTTGTGGCGCTATTTTCGGGCGATTAGTTAACCACTAGAGCCCATTTTGACGCACTTCTGTCGTTGTGTACTACTTCTAGGGGAATGGTCCTCGAGTCCTGGAATTTGTTGTAATAGGTAGCCTTGAAGGTGTGCCATCAAATTTGACTGTTTTAAGCCCCCCCCCCTCCCCCCATGAAGTATAAAACGTGCATAACTTTTACATACAACAAACAATTAGTCTCAGATTTTGCATACGCGTGCCTTTAGTGGTTTGTGCAAACTGAAACTTTCCTGCGCAATTCCTTTTCGAGATCAGTAGATGGCCAGGAGGGGGGGGGGAGGAGGGTAGAAATTAATTTGATCTTTCATGGTATTCTAATTAAAGGTCTCAACGAAAGGAACCGTTTTTTATCAACTACGGCGCTTATTTCTGTCCCTGTATCAAAAGCCCTGGTTGGGAGGAGGGGGGGTTGGTTCAATCCTTCATGGTACTCTAATGAAAGGTCTCAACGAAAGGAATTAACCTCTACCAACCATAGTCCTCCTCCTCGGCCCCTTATCGTGATCGGATATATACCCTTATATCTCCGGAACGGATTGTCGGAAGAGGGTACCCACAAAGAACGATTGGGACGTCTGGAAGAAATATATCCATTGATGATGTCAAAAACTTTAAAAGCGAATATCTCGAAAACGGTCATCTACCAAGAAAATATACATCGATAGCATCCTATTTCGGAAAAAAAATGCGCTTTTATCTGCACAGGAGTTGTGCAAAATTTATACTTGTTTTTACATGTTGTTAATGAACGTATCTACATCACTCGCCTTTTACATTTCATTCAGTTTCATGAATTAATAGCATTCAAGCAGAGTGACGCCACAAAATTTGTGTTGCCCCAATAAAATAATAATAACAAACTACAAAGTGGTGGCATTATTTTGGCGCTATTGAAAAAATCCCTTTTATTAAACTTCGCAAAACACACGTAAATGAATATTTGAAACTGGAAAAAGTTTTTTCGAGCGGAAAGTATTGTAATTTTCCGTTTCATTCATATGTAAATTGCACAAAGTTATTTTAGGGGCAACAAAGTACAAATTTATACGAGTGATTTAATCGAAAACTTTAAGCAGCACGAACGAAATGCATTGTAATGTGAAAAACTGCTACTTACCGAACGCCTGGCATTGTATAATTTTTTTGTTCCCCAATCGGACCGTGCTGCTGGTGGACGGTGACGTGGTAAATCGGGGCGCTTGCAAATTCTCTGAAACAAAAACGGAATTCAATGATGACGTGAGCATATGGGTCGTAAAGTCGGGAGTCTCATTTTTTATGGGCGCCCATAAAAATAACATAATGCGAGTTAAAATTGAAAACTGTAAACATTCCCTTAGGGGTTGCACTAAAAGGCTGTAAACATCAAACTATTATAAGGAGAATCGTAAAAACACAAATTGGAACGGCCATATTCGGATATTCTCATTCGCGATTTAAACGCGATAAAACACCCCGACGAAAGTAGGTGAAGCGCCGCGTCATTGAGATCACAAATTTTTGGCCATCCTTCCGGAGCGTTATATGGGGCGAAAGGCACAAAAATACTGAGCTCGGTCATTAAGGGAGTGGCTGTGGAAAATGAATTTCTTTTACACTATGTCGAAACCGAAACATATTTCAGTGGTAATTACACCCCAAAAAACAAAGGCGAAGTGCCAATGAACCAATTAATTATTATAACAATCGATCTATAACAACAAAAATAGGTTGACCCTAATAACTGAAAGTCGCGCAAAAATCAAAGAGTTTTTGAAATGGTCACGCGAACTGATAAAGTGCGATAATGCGTAGGCAGACTGAAATTTGCTATTCATAACGACGCAATTCGAATAAACTCTAAATACTTCCTCCGCTGTAAATGAGAAAATTTTAATATTCACCGGATTTATTAAATATTTTGTCCTGAATTTTTTTAATTACTACATTTCCATCCCTTGCTATGGCTAAATAAACACCGCCGGACAAAGAGTTACTAAACTCATCATTTGCGATTGTACACGTTGAAATTGTTTTTTTTTTTTTTGAGAAATTAGTACGACATCGAAGCTAAAAGGAACAATGCCATGTTAAATTACATTTTTTGTCGTTAATTACAACTGTTTACCGTTCAATTCGTGCAAGACTTCTTTATTTATTTAACCGTAGATCTCATCAGGTTATGGGCCCAGTATTTGGGCGAATTTATTTTTGATTTCTTTTGTTTGCAAGTTTAGGGATCCGAGAACTGAGCTCACTTCTTATCACAGCAGGGTGGGGATATGACTTCACGCGGACAACATTACGATTATGGGGATCAGACAATCCTACAGTATATAGCATATAGCATCGTCGAGAGTTCTGGAATTTTTTGCAATAAGTAGCCTCTATACCTTGAAGGTGTGCTGGTATTCGTATTCCCCCTTAAAAGTACTGCGTGAACTAAATTACAGACAGACAGACAAATCATTCGCATTACTTTAACACAACTCCAGCTGGTTAATTGAATATGAAAAGCGAATAGAACGTGCAAATCCACCGTAATACACCTACAACCCTTCATTCACACGTCATCCCTCAACAATATAATTAAAAGTTAGTTACGAACGTTCGCCATTGTTTACATTCGGACAATATACGCTACACCCCCTGTCGACCTAGTATTATTTAATCACATAATATCCTACAAAATAATCCGGTCTGTTCTTGAGAAAGATACGAGAACCCATACAATACCTCCCCCCTTGCATCGCTTTGCCTAAAACGTTCATAAAAATATTACCCCCCATAATCCGATTTAAGAAAATAATTCGTTCGGCGGTAAACATTAAACATTTCGGCCATATGCGCGCACCGAAAGAAAAATAAATATTTAACTTTACCTTTGTCCCGGACGGGAGCGGGACTGTAATTAGATTATGATGGCTTTAAAGATTTAACGAAACGTTAAATCTATTTGTGAAGCTCTTTATTTCTGCCTTTTATATTTTGCAAAACAATTTGGCTGCAATTATGTCGGGATTGTGCAATTTTGATTGTGATTTTATTACGTTAAAAATACAATGCGACTGAAGGGATTAGAATTTGAACGCTTTTTCTCAGTGTCCAGTGACTCTGTAAAAACAGTTTAGTATTGAGCTAATTGATCTATTTTGTGTACTATGGTTTGCCACAATTGTTACCAGCAATCTTGATTAGGGTCATTTGGTTACAACTGCGAATTCGGCATGAGGTCATTTCAGCATCGTGTAAACTGGTTGTATTTGGGAATGACTTAGTACCTTAGCTTTTATACGATTCGTAGAGTGGAAATTAAACAAACGAATTAACGATTAAAGATGGCCGGCTGCATTAATAAGAAGCCATTTTGCCATTTTAGAGGCGTTCTTTAATACACAAGGAATAGAGAGGGTTAGCTTTGGGGGAAACTCTTGAGAATTCGCGGTTAAGCACGCAGCGAGACAAGTGCGTGATCCCTAGAGAAAATTTTGGTCCTAAATTAGTTTTCAATTCAGATTATCATTACTTTTGTGGATGATGTTAATTTTGCACGAGATCAATAGTCTAAAGTTTACTCAGATTGGCCTTAACATTACGTATCCCAAACATCAGGGCGCCAACAAGTCGATAAAAGGTTAGGTTGCCACCGGCGATAAGGAATGAAAGCGGATGCGACGCATTCTTTCCTCAAAATATGATACGCCTTCTAGTCTCTCCGAGACCTTTAGAGACCTTCATTAGCTATATAAGCAAATTGAGGCGTAGTTAATGGCAGTTCCAAAATCGATGCCAAACTGATTAATCCTTTAGATTTCTCAAAGGTAAATTTTGAATATTCTATTATGAAAACGCTCTATTAAAAAAGAAAAGGTTTAATATTCAAATGACTTTGAATGAGAATTCTCAGGGACTGCATAAGTCACAACACTCTGTATATTATAAAAGGTATTATGGCATACGTTGCAATAAACCAATTACTTTTCTGTGCACACAAAAATCGAACACCATCGGACATGACATCTTGATTTTGTCTTTCGCAATGGAATTGCAGCATGTGCAATTCGGTTACTTACCGCTCGTCAACTCGATTTTTCTTTCGCCCGTTCGCGTTTTACACTCAAAATCAATTTCTCGCCCGTGCTCGTCGAACAAAAAAAAGAGTAAATAAATCCGCAACAAAAACCATTTATGGCTTCACCTCTTCCCGAGGGGATTGCACTTTAATACCTGTTTGGGGCTGGTGAATAATTTTTCCCTCATTGAAGCACGATATTCTGTTTACTATGTAAATTCGCGCGAATGCGAATATAATTAGCAGTTACGCTCACATAATCGTCACAAATCGATCCGATTTGTAAACAATTCCGTTTAAAAAAGTGTTTTCAATTTTTGTAGAAAGGCGGAAACGCATTGGTGCAGAATTTCAAGTTTGCGAACGGCTATAGACCTAAAAGTTGGTGAAAAATTTTAAACGCTGAGTTTTTAAACACTAATCAAGGTTTTAAAGATTCAAAAACACTTTGCCTTTGAGAAGTTTTGACATCATTTCTTCCAGACGTCACAATCGCGCTTTGTGAGTACCCTCTTCCGACAATTCGTTATAGAGATATATCCGATCACGATAACGGGTCGAGGAGAAGGAGGACTATGTTTGGTAGAAATTAATTCCTTCAGATGAGACCTTTCATTAGAGTACCATGAAGGGTAGAACGTGTGTTTACCCCCCCCCCCCCCCCCAATTTTTAAAAGTTTTACTGGGCCCCACTAAAAGCAATCGAAGACCAACTGGTTGTCGCATGTACCGGGTGACCCAATAAGACTGTTCCTCGGTCATATCTCGGGAACCGTTCGTCTTATAGCCTAGGAGTAAAAAAATTATTGGGTAAATCGGTTATGAAGAATCGCTGGAAAATATTTTCAAGTTCCAAAAATAACCACCAGAGGGCGTAACTGCCATCTTAAATTTTAAAATTGCATTTTCTTTCAATTTCGCATAATAAATTAAACATTATTTTTCCACATTTTTAAAGAGAACCAGTTTATCTATCATTTTCGTAAAAACAAAAACTCAGTTATTTCAAAAACAAAGATGCCGTGGGGCGTTCAATTGTTTTTGCAATAACCTTCTTTCCTTCTTAACGGTTTGACCGATTTTAACCAATTTAGTATGGTTGAAAAGAGCATTCCTTGGGCAATGAGAATATAGTTAATTTAGTTGAATCCTTCTCCGCTAAGGGGCTAGTTTTGACACCATGACCCAAAATCCTAAAAAAATTAAATGGAATGATATGACTTTTCTTTATGAAAAAGTAGCCAAATAACATCCAAAAAGGCAAGTGAAAACCGTTTTTCAAAATCTCGATCCTAAGCTCAAATATTCGAAAAATGAGATTAATTCATTAATTAATACAAATGCTTAAATTGTATCTTATTTGAGGTATTTCCGGTATTTGTCAATGGCGCGAAAGATTGTTTGGAAAAGGCCCCTACACTTTTAGATAGGCCTTGGAAAATTAAACAAATGAAACACAATGCATTTATAACAAACAAAACAACCGGAAATACGTAAATAGTAAATTTAAGAAAAAATTTTAATAAACAGAGATACTTCTATGGTATCGGGAGAAATGTTTCAACATAAGTCTTCTGTTGCTACTAGGAGTACATAATCAACGGGGAGGTTTTCTAGTATAGGGGAAATCGCCGCATTTTCGCTTTTTTTTTGAGAGAACATTTGTGTCACTAATATCTGTCGGAAAAAAGTTCGTAACTATTCTTTTACTATCAGGAGCACATAATAAACAGGTTTTTTTCTAGTACAGGATTTTATTTTTGATATGTATGAGGAAAATATAATCTGCGAGGAGGATTTTTTGCCTAACACTTATAATGTGCCGCAAAAATCTTTTAAATTTTCGAGAACATCTGTATCAGGGGGATATAATGCGCGAGGAGACACCATATCGAATTTTAGGCCACCAGAAGTGCATAATAAACGAGAAGGCTTTTTTTGTGTATCCGGACAAATGTTTCAATACCATATGTTCACTTTAACTTACGCGAATACAATGTGTGAGGAGGTATTTCTGCTTCAAATACTTGGAGTATCCGTCGCAAAAATTTGGTAATTTTTTCATGCTACCAGGAGTAAGTCCATCTCAATATCGTATTTTTTTTAATTTAGAAAATAGTGTGTAGTCCGACAGATGGCATAAGTATGGAAGTACCTCCTCACACATTCTATTCTCCTGGTATAAATCTTCGTAATAGTAATAATGCCGTTCTGAAACTTTTTTTGGATGCCTCCACATTTATATATCGTAAAATGCTTGAAGTCAATGACGTAACCAACGGTGGATTCTAA